AATAATTTAAAATCAATACTAGGTTTCTTTTTCATTTTTTTAATTCATTTTTTTTAATAAAAAACAATACTTTTTTCGTCTCTTTAAATTCATTTTTTTAAATACTATAGCTTAACAAACTTATGAATTTTTGGTGAATCACGATAAATAATATAAAATCCGAGCATAATAAGTAATGTTAGTACACCATGAATGTAATATGTTGCTGGCCAACCAAATGATGATACACACAAGGCTCCCGAAATAGGCATTGTAAACAATGGCCCAATCTGTAAATAAAAAAAAAAAACCCCAATCCTTATTCTGTAAGCTCTAATTTATAAAAAAAAAAAAAAAATTTAAAAAGTGCAAAAACTATTGCAAATAGTTATTCGATGACAGATATAAAATAATTTAAATTATTTTTACACTTTTTATAAATTTTTTTTCTTTTGTAAATTAGACTTCACAGATTAAAGATTAATAAATATTAATCAGATGTTTGAAATATTCAATTCACAAACCTGAAAATGACATAATATTAATGACATATACATCCCACTATCAGCTAATAATGACCATTGCGATGTAATAGTACCAACGACCGGATAAGCTGATGCATATGCAAATCCCTAAAATATGAAATTGAATTAAATGAGTGCAAATTTGAAAATGATATGTCTGATATTAGCAACTTTTTCTAAAATGGATTTTTTTTTTTAAATTTGCATAACTATTGATTGAATTTGATTATAATTCATATATTACTTTTATTCTAATTTATCCTATCTGTATTAACTTGTCAATGATGTTATCATTTATTAGGAATATAACTTAACAAAAGTGTAGCTTATCACTAACTGTAATCATCAACTGCATAATTGATTGTTAGTGCATCAATATCTTATCAGGAAAATGACTTGTAAAATAACTGCATAACTTATCGTTCACCATATAACCTATCATTGACGTATGAAATGTTAAAAAAAATATTGCTGCATTTTTAAAATTTTTTTTAAAACTGTTTTTTAAAAATTTATCAAAAGATAAATTTTTAAAATTGATAGGATTATAAAGCAATTTCTTTATTATACTTCTAAAAATCGCATTGCAAAAAGAAATCCAAATCCAAAATCAGCAACCCAAGGAATTAAAAGGGTGGAAATCGCTGATATTATTCCAAATAATACGAAAAGTTTCCTGAAAAAAAAAAAATGGAACTGTTGCTTTTGTTTATTTGATACAAACTTCTTCATGTCATCCATTTTTTATTATTATATCAAATTTAAAAACATTGTGTATTATCAGTAATAAATCATTAGCAATGAAAAAATTCATCAAATTTAAAAATATCATATATTATCAGCAATGAATTATAAATATTGAAAAAAAAAATTAATGTTGGAAAAAATTATTAACATTTGAAGAAAATGATTACTAATATTGGGAAAATTATCATAATAATATCAAATTCGTTATGGTACCTAAGAAAAAAAAATGTTCTAATTTAAATATATTATCAGTGATGATTTATTAATATTGCAAAATTGGAGAAATTAAATTTAAAAGACTCACCTAATTGTTAATTTTTTTTCAAGAAGAATTACTGGATAAGTACCTATAAGAGTACCAATGGCTGTTGCCGAAAATAACAAGCCTTTCTCAGTTCCAGTAAAATGATATGTTTTTCCCGATGAATCTAAAATTAATCTATCAACATTTACCATCAATTGAAACTGTATCAGTGGATTCGATAATATCAATCAGAATATTATTACTCATATCAAAATTATTTGTTAATCATTTCTAAAATGTTCCAATTCATATCAAAATTATTTTTGCTATTCATGGTTTCATAATTTTAACTTATATTATAATTTTAACTTATTAGCTTCTATTATTAATTTATATTATAATAGGATTATTTCTTGTTCAGTTTTTTCGCAATTGTTTCATAATTTAAAGTATCATTAGCTTATGCTAGAATTATTTCCTAGTCATTTTGGAAATATTGTTACTCATATCGGAATTGCTTGTTATTTATCTTTACAATATTGCTGCTTACATTTGCATTGCATGTTACTTATTAAAATTACTACTGTTTTTTTTTACATATTATTTTGATTCTGGTTTTAAATTTTCATTTGATTTCGTCCAATAAAAAGTTTTTCAAATTTAAATTCACAAAAAAATTGTAACAGAAGAGGAAAAGAAGAAAAACTTGCATGACTGTTTCGCTGTTGAATTGGATGTTTGCGCTGTTTCATCAGACATACAGATAATTGTAAAATTTAAAATCAAAGTATTACTTGTAATAATCGAAAGTGCTAATGTTGAAATGATTAAAATCAAATATCGCGTATGATTTGCATAATATGTTGGTTTGGAGCATGAAAAATGTAACATTCTGGAAAAGAAAAAAAACTAGCAAAAAACATTTTTGCATGTTTTTATATTATTTTTAAATAAATGAACAATCATTGACATACATAAAAATCGCTAACAGCATTTTTTTTTCTCTCGTAATATAAGTAATTAACTAATGATATTTTATGAGATGATAATAATCAATGATAATAAGTAATAGCTTTTCTTAATCGGTATATGGAAAAGTATAATTTGAACCGTAAAAAAAAGTATTATGAATATTATTTAATACTATATGATAATAATCTATTCGTTATCTTCAATATGTTAACATTTAAACTACTTTTTTAGAAAAAAAAAAAGCTCAAAAAATTAAATTTAAAAGCCAGCGATGTTTTATATTTTAACAGAAAACGCGTTGATACAATCACTAAATCGATCTATTAATGATTGATTTTTTTATTTCTCACTATTCGATCGCTAAATTTCCAGTATCTTCCATGCACTTACACAAAATGTTAAACTTCAGCGGTATTCTTTATGTTCGATGTTCATACTCCTAAAAAATCCTTACAAAGAAAAGAAAAACTAAAATATATTCAGAATTTAAATGAAAAAAAAAGAGAAAAGAGTAAAATTGAAATTTTTTTAAATAAAAAAATCTAAGATGAGATTGATAAGAATAAAATTTCAGCTCAAAAATTTTGAATTTGATTTCAGAAAAAGAGGACGGAACTTTTTTTTTTGTAAAAATGAGTTCTTTTTTTTTATTGAATAAACATTAATTAAAAGGAGAAGGAACAAAAAAAAAAAAAAAAGTTTAAGGAAATTTTGCGACACTTAAAGAAAATATGCTGACTTATTTGAATTACTCTTATAGCTTATGTAAATAAATGGTGAGTTATTTTGTCTTTTATTTAGAAATTTATCATCACATCATAGGTTTAAGTATTGTTAAACAATATTTAAGTAAATACATCAGTATATGTGTAACATTAATAGAATAACCAAATACTAATATTTTTATTATTAATCCACTGATTATATTATAAACAAAATTAATGATTGAATTTTGATGCTTCCAATATTTTACGAATTTCAAATGATCTGTTAAAACAAAAAAAAAATGGTTTACTTTAAAATTCTCCTTATTTTTCCTCTAAATTCCATTCAATTAATTCTTCTTTTAATCAATATTTTAAGCAGTTTCACAATCTACAACAATTTTTTATTTTTAATTTTAATTTTATCAAAATAAATTGCATCGATTATTATTCGGTGATGTTAACAATTAAACGCAAAAAAAAACACGAAAAAATTCCAACAACATATATACATATATATACGTGTCGCTTCGCCTGATTTATCACATGTATTACTTATAAGGAGGAAATTTGAAATTCCAAATTTTAAAAATAAACAAATATGAGTCATACTTCCGGCATAAAGTATTTCAAATGTAGAGTTTGAAATATGAACATTTAAACGATGAGATGATACCACGATTACCTAAATATTGATCGTTAGCAGAAAAAAAATTCTTGAATTAGGAATAGTTTCCTAATTCAAGTGTCCGTTTTTTAATAAGTTCATGAGAGTTAACATTTGCTGACAATAAATGTGATATTGATGAAATAGTTGCAATTAACACTTATTGATTAATTTATTCTCAAAATCTCTTCGATTATGTTCTCGCTATCATTTTGAATTTATTTTTCTCCTACCAATCGAAATCATCAACAATCTCTCTCATTCTCTTATTTTGTTTATTTATATTCTGAAATATGTAAATTTAAAATTAGTTTACAGCATGTGAATGTTTATATATACATATATAATTTCTTCTATCCTTCTCTTCTCTCTCTCTCCCCCTCTCTCTCTCTCTCATTCTCTCATTCTCTTTAATTCTTTTTATGCCTCTTTTCGGTCTTTTTCTTCTAAATTAGTTTTCAATTACATAAAAAAATTTTATTCCATTGTGATTAAAAAAAAAATTCGAATAGGTTAAAAGTTAAAGAAACAAG